TGATTATGTACATTTTTTCTCGTATCCTTAACCTGTAATTTTTATTTAAAAACAAAGCAAAACTTCTTCTAATTATTTTTTAATTAATATTTTTCTAATATGTCGAACAGCGATTGCAGAAAAGAAAAAAATCGTATACAGACATTTTATATATAATATAAAAAAAAAAAGAATTTCAGATACCGTTTAGGAGAAGTAGTAAAAAATATTCTTTTATATACAAATTTAGATGGGGTACGAGGGTCACAAATGGAGGGATCTTGCTCAGGGACGGGAACAGTGGCGGGATTTGGTATTTGCGGCAATGAGCTTTCGAGTTCCTAACGCCTAATAATAATAATAATAATAATACAAATTTAGGTAACTCAGAATTAATATAAAATAATAATATGTTTCGAATATAAACGTTTCTTATTTATAACAATAATAACACTTAATTCATAAGTATCTGATTGACGATTATAATTTGATATTATTTACGAAATAAGTGAGTTATGAAAGTTAACTATAGACATGCACAATAGCTGGGCATTCGCGGGCGCCCGTGCTCAATTTCAGCATTTTGCTGATTCCTGGTTTACGAGATATTTTATATTTTATTCTAACATATATTGACATAAAATATTAAATAACTCGCAAACTATTAATTTTTTGATAATCGTACCTTAATGCTTTTATGAACAGAATAATGAATCAATTAATGGAAAGAAAACTCATAATTGCTTTAAAAATATATATATATGTAAAATAAATAATTTTTTAAATTAGCAACTATTTTCTTTTCATCAATTAATTCATCTCATTATTCTCTTCATAAAAGTATTAGTAGTACGATTATCAAAAAATTAATAGTTTACGAGCTAATATATTTTATACCAGAATAAGGTATAAAATATTTCGTAAACTATTGGTTTTTCGATATACCTTAATACTTTTTAAGGTAACAATATTGAAATTTCCGTAACAAATTAAAAAAAAATAAATAAATACAAGCGGGCAATTGGAAATTGGCACAGTAACCAGCCGAAAACTAGTCGAAACATTTTATTTATGTAAGATAGAGTTTTTTCAGAGCGTATTGCGCATTGATCACTGTATTAATTTCCATTTGCCCGTCTATCTTTATTTAATACTTTTACAATCATAATAATTAGAGGAATCATATTGTGTAAAAAATCATACAATTTCATTTAAAAAAATGGAGGTCACCTTGAAGTCTCAAAAAATATGACCTTGAGAATAATTTTTTGTTCATCATGATATGACACTCCTTCGAATCAAACAACTTTTTCTTTTGGTATTTTCTTGTATCATTAAAAACAACGGAGATATTTCAAATGGTCAAATTAGAGGAAACACTATACATATACATATCTATAACATATATAAGGTGTCACATTTTAAATAATGCACTAAGATTTCTCGAAAACTATTGTAGATACGGAAAAATGTTTCAAACAAAAGTTGTATTGTTCGGAGGGTAACAAGGTATCATTGATTTAACCTTGGGTGGCGTCGCCAAGGTCAGATCAAGAACACATCAATTTTTTTTAAAGAAACTATTTTTGATAAAATTTAATAGCTGGTGTCAAGAGCTTTTCAAAACACTATAATAAAGTTATTTTTCATTAAGTAATTTTCAAGTTATAAGGCTTAAAAGTTATAGAACCGCCGGCATTAGCATTACGCAAGGTGTCCGATGGTTAAAACCTCTTGAATATTGTTCAGGATCATGTTCTAGATAATATTTGTTAAGATCAAGGACACTGGAGATTGTATCTCTTATTTTTATTTTTACGTAAAAATAAATTCTACAATTAGTAAAAAAATAAAAATAACAGGTATAACCTTCAATGGCCTTGGCCGGCGGTACTGTAACTTTCAAGCATTATAACTCGAAAAATACTTAATGAAAAATAACTTTATTATAGTGTTTTGAAAAGCTTTTGACACCAGTTATTAGATTCTGCAAATCAAAAATAGAGTGTTCCTTTTAAAAAAATCGATATGACCTTGGCGACGCCACCCAAGGTCAAATCAATGGCCTTCTCCAAACCATATAACTTTTGTTTGAAACATTTTTCCATATCTATCATAGTTTTCGAGAAATCTTAATGCATCATTTAAATGAGATATCCTGTATATATATATATATATAT